GTAGAGCCCAACTGTTCAGTTAGACATTATTTATGAACTTCCTCTCTTATATCTGCATAGATTATTTTTGATATATTATAATGTAAAATGAAACTTTGGGATAGTTAAGAAATACAATTAATCCATTTATAATGGACAAGATTGTCCCCTTAACAAGTAAAATTGCCTGGCATATTAGATGGCCTTATAAATGACATACCATATTAATTAACCATTAGGTTGCATTGTGCCCTAATGCACCCTAGCTACTTTATTATGTTACTCTGTCTAACACCAGACAATTTTACTTGTGAACTGGAGAGCCACTCAGTGCTCAATGGGTTAACATGTCAATGTCTAACTGAACTGTCTGGGCTCTGCTCTGCAGTAAATTTCCTTGTAATTGGAGTCTGCGATCTGTGACCCAATACATCTTCAGTGTCTTCATATGGTACTGTCACTATTTTATATGTATAATGGACATTTCTCATTTAGGGTGAATCTGATGTAAGTCATGTGGACAAGAAATTAATACAAGTTCTTTCGAATGTTCAAATAGCAAGAGTTAAGTGGTGCACTAGCTCTTGCCAGACTTAACTGCATGCCAGAACTAACAATTACTTTTCTCTATAATTTTGTGGGAATGTGTTATTTATATGTATGTACTACAAACAGCCAAAGAATAACCAATGAGCTCTAGTTTTAATTTTTTAATAATACTGTTAAGTATTACATGTAACTTGATTGTACAGTTAGGTTTTAATATTATTTACTGCTAATGGGTCATATTCCAGAAAACATCCATACCACCCCCACAGAGGAAATTACGTACATTTACTATTATCAGAAACAATTTTTTCTCCCCTCCCCCCTCCGGACGGTAGAAATTTCCTCCGTGGGGGGAGTGTGGATCTTTTCTGGAACGTCCCAATTGGATAATTATTCTTTAACCATGCAAGTTGGATTAAAATAAATAATATACAAGATCAAGCAAATTTTTGTCTTTAATTAATTTTGAAACAATTAATACATGTTTCTTGGAGGTTCACTAACAACAGTGGCATGAACTCATTGTGGGAGCATTCTGCATTAAGCAAGAATAGATTATAGCCATAGGGGCTATCAATATGGAAGCCAGGCTGGCCTGGTTGGCAGAACTATTTATTATTTCCAGATTAATTTCCTTGCCGACACAATTCTATTGTTTTGACAATATTTCCATGACCAATGTTGTATTGACTTTACTTTGACCAGGTCAGTCCAGTTAGTGTTTATATCCATAAAATATCTTCCCGGTGTAACTGAGAACTTGCCTTCTTCAGGTGAGATCTGAAAACTGAGCCAGTCAGGTTGTCCATACAATTTGAAAGGAATTTCCACTATAAAAATAACCACACAGTGAGTGAGACCTTGCTTACTGGCCTAGGGCTAGCTGTCACATTAGCCCCTACCTCAGGAACACCAGAAATATGCCAGCAGTTGAGTCAATTAACCCAATACTTATAGGGATGGGGCAAACAAGTTAATGCATGGCCTTTTAAAGATACATACAACAAACTATCCCACAGTGTGACCTCAGTTTTCCAGTAATGGTTGTTAAAAGAAATAAAAATAGACCGCTAACGCCATGGATGACAAAAGCGCTTTTAGTGTCTACTAGGAAAAAGAATAAATTATACAAACAATTCATGGCAAAAAGAAATCCCGCACGAGAATCTCGGTATAAGAAATATAAAAATAAGCTTACCCACTTGATCAAGGGCGCAAAAAAAGCATATTATGAGAAAAGATTTGATGCAGTCAAGAATAATCAAAAGGCAACCTGGAAGCTAATTAATGAAGTTATTAATAAACGAGCGCGATCCTCTTCACTGCCATTATCATTTAAAAAAGGGTCCTGCACGCTAACTGATCCAAAAGATATAGCATACTTGTTTTGTAATTTTTTTGGTAACATTGGACCAGAGCTCGCAAGTAAAATCCCACACCATAATGTTTCTTTTCGTTCCTTTTTAGATTTAAGCTATAGTGAATCAATGTTTCTATGCCCTACAAATAAGAACGAATTACAAGATATTTGTTATTCATTTAAAACAGGAAAAGCGCCTGGTTTTGACAATGTATCGATGTATGTAATTAAAAATATTTCGATCTTCTTGTTCAACCCCTTGCTAATATTATAAATTTGTCTTTATGCATGGGAATCTTTCCAGAAAAACTAAAAATTGCTAAAGTTATTCCAATTTTCAAATCAGGAGAACAAAATTCTTTCACAAACTATAGACCTATATCACTCTTAAGCAACTTTTCAAAATTCTTCGAAAAAGTCATGCATAATAGATTAACTTCATATATTGAACGACATGAAATTATATATAGTCTCCAATTTGGATTTCGAAGAAAGCACTCAACTTGTCACTCGTTAATTTCTCTAACCAATAATATTGCATCGGATATTGATTGGGGCCATTTAGCTGCTGGTGTTTTTATTGACCTTTCTAAAGCTTTTGATACTTTAGATCATCAAATTTTATTTTTTCAAAATTAGAGCACAATGGTGTTCGAGGTGTCGCCTTGCAATGGATCAAAAGTTACTTATCAAACCGTAAACAGTTTGTTCTAATTAAAGATACTTGCTCTGAGTTTTATGAAATAACATGCGGAGTTCCCCAGGGATCCATTTTGGGACCACTTCTTTTTATTTTGTATGTAAACGATCTCCAAAAATCCTTAAAGCAAGCTACTTCGTCTTTGTTTGCAGATGATACTAGTATATATTATTCACATTCTGATATATCAAGCAACTTGAGGCAACCCTAAACAGTGAGCTTCAAAACCTTGATATCTGGATGAAATCAAACAAATTATCCGTAAATATAAGCAAATCAAATTATTTAATTTTTCATCCTAGTAAAAAAAACTAAGTCTTAATTTAATTCTCAAATATGATAACCAAATTCTTGTTCAAAAACGGCATATAAAATTCTTAGGTGTATATTTAGATGAAAATTTGTCATGGAAAATCCACATAAATTATATTAGTAAGAAAATATCAAAATCTGTTGGAATAATTTATCGCTCGCGATTTCTCTTATCATTGGTTACAAAACTTTCCTTATATTATAGTTTAATATACCCTTATCTAACATATTGTAATATAGTATGGTCTTCAACATACGAAACTAATGTGAAGAGAATCTATCTTTTACAAAAGCGAGCTGTTAGAGCAATGGCTAACTCTGATTACCGTGCTCATTCTGCTCCGCTTTTCAAAAAATTAAATATATTAGATATCTTCAAACTAAATACTCATTGTATAGGTATATATATGTATATTTATAGCCGTGATTTATTACCTGAATGTTTTGACAACTTATTTATTTCGAACAATCAAGTTCACGATCATAATACTAGAGCGCGGCCAAATATAGGTCTCATGCATGTCGAACTAACATAAAACAATTCACTATCCTACATCAGGGTCCGAAAATATGGAATTGTCTTCCTTCATCAATAACAGGAATAAATATCACTTCTTCTTTCAAAAGAAAATTGAAAAAATATTTGATTGAAAACAATTAGTGCATGTACAATTGAATAGGAGCTTCATTTATAAACAACAAAACAAAAAAAATAATTGGGGTTTTTTTGGGAAAATAAAATCCCTCAACTTTGTTCTGAATAACATTGAGATGGCCTCTTAATACAAGTCTTTGACTTCCTGAGGTCTTCTCGCCACTTTCAATTTGACATACATAAATATAAATATATACCTAAATATTATTACAATAATCAATGTAAATAACTGAAAGAAGTGGTAAATAAATTAAATTGAATTGAATTTACACTCAGGATATACACTCAGAGTAACATCACAAGCATCATATTCGCCTGAGTACATTACACCAACACAGAAAAAATCATGACTACTGTTCTGTTTATTAAATTTTCTTCCACGACAAAATATTATTGCATGAATCTGATATGCTGAATTAGATCATTTTATTCAAAGACTATATGCATCGATTATACTTCTAATTTCCATATTTGTCATAATTTGTTACTGAAGAATGACTTTCAATATTTGCCCAATTTGATATTATATTTACTTGGCATAAACAGTTGATTTATGTGGTTATTAACCTGATTATTGCATATCAATTATGGTATAAAAAGGCTTTCAAAACTGCGCAAGTGTGTATTGCCAACATCTGTGCATCTACAATGTTCTTGCATGCCTGCTAGAGTTTATTATAAATTATCAAGAAAATGTTAAAGCCGACATTGTGTTGATTGAACTCCTTGACATCAATACAATCACTATATATGAACAGATACATGTACGCTTAGCGTACCTATTTTTTTACATCGAAATCAATTGAAAAAAATATCTTTTTGTGCTAAAAGTCACCGAGCAAATATATACGGGATGTATATAAACTAATCATTTTTATGGATTTTATGCGGCCAAGCTAAGAAATGGTATGGACATTCGCAAGAAGGCTACTGACAGAGGCTCAGAGGATGATTGCGTAGGGTTAGGTTAGGGTTATGTCAGGGTTAGGTTAAAGTTACGGTTAGGGTTGCACTTAGAGTTAGGTTAGGGTTAGTGTTAACTTAGGGTTAGGGTTGCGCTAAGGTTTGGTGTTTATAGTTAAGGATAGTGAAGATGAGATTCCGCGTCGAAACACGGTTATCCAAGCATAAATATTTCGCGTCCTAGATCGAATTTTAAAATTTCGACGAGAAAATTGAAGAAAAAAGCACGCTTTATCACAATTTGTCATTTTTGAAGTAAAATAATTAATATAGAATGGCATCGTGGGCGTAGAATAAGTTGCTATTGTGTCGCTCCTTTTGTTTAATATATCATGCATTCTGATTGCTCAAGCACACAAAATTTATACAAATGGGCTGATTTTCTAACATTATTTACTTTTGTTATAATGCTATAATACTGTGCATTTAAGTGTGCTATAAATAGGCAAATATATTTTTAATACCAAAGAAAGGATCGTATCATTTTTAACAAAATTGTCATTTATCATCACATTTATACATTTATCACCACATTTACATTTTAATCATCACATTCACAATTACATATTTACATTTATCATCACATTAACCGCATTTGCATCACCACTAGTTGTAAAGAAAAACATACATTTTTCTTCAAATGTTTGGAACCATTTTTTTATATAGTATAACAAACCATATAACACCTACTAACCAAAGGATGACCATGCCAAAGCAGTAAAAGAGCAAACTCATTTTGGTAAATACAAAACTGACCCCAATGCGGCTTATTACAATAGCCGAATGCAAAGTCGCGTAGGATAAACCTTGGATAAATGTCGCATTCTGTGGGTCAGTAATTTTTGAAAGAATAGAATTTGCAAAAGGATATGCAAAATATGGCATACCCAGACAAACGTATATAAGCAGAAAATAGTATTGAACACTTGTTACTCGATCCCACAAGAAAGCCAAAGACGTGAGAAATGAGATGGCAATGACTTGCATGAATAAGGCAAAGACAAAGAGCCTCCGTTCTTCGACATATTCTGAA